CCAACCATTGGGGGGGTGTTACTTTGGTTCCGATGCCTCCGACTTTAGCGTAATATTCATTTGTGAAAGAGACGTCATCGAAAAACTTGACAGCTACTAGCAAAGCGACGAGGAAGAGTCTATGGACGTTAAAACAATTAACGCGGACACTGTCGTGTAATTCCTGTAGCCGGTCCAGATATACGAGGGCAAGGATGAAGCATTCGGATGAGCAGTAGAACAACTTCTTTAGCCTGAAAGTATTATGGTGATTGGTGTGTATATATGATTGGTGTGTGTATATGATTGGTGTGTGTGTATGATGAACACACACCTGGATATATACGCCTCGAGTGAAATAAGGGGAATGGCAATGGAGTCGAATCGGAGTTTGACCCCCTTTTGAACGGACATCCTTTTCTTGACGAAGGTAGCAATGTCCGGATCGTCGGGAAGGGCGAGGGGACTTAAAGCCATACGAAGTGCCGCCAGATCGTCTTCGACAGACGGCTGCGAGATCAGGCCACTAGATACCGCTTCCGGTATCAACTGCTCACGTGTCCTTATCCTAATCCCCTCCAGCAAACTTTTTGCTGCAGCGATCTGCTCTTCGTCCATGCCGCAAACAGTGTCGTTGCCAGTTGTGTCAGTCATACACACTCCTTAAATCTTACATCAATTTTCATCTAAGAAATATGCTTGCTCCTCACAACTACCATAACTATAATGTCCAGACAGACCCCAAGGAAAACCTCGCGCACCGTGCGGCTATTGTTTGTCGATGAGTGTCGGCAGCACTTACCTCTGCGGTGCCGTCGGGGGCAAAGATTGGTTCAGTGACCCACCCAAGCTCAGCGACCCGATGTTCAGCGACCCGATGTTCAGCGACCCGATGTTCAGCGACCCGAAGTTCAGCGACTCGAAGTTCACCAATTTGGCGCTGGACTTTTGCAATAGTGATTTGTCATTCCTCGACGGTCCCAGTTACGCACTCGACGCATACTCGCTGACCCGATGTCCCATGCACCCTGCCTTGACCCCTGGAGGTACTCTCTCGGCATGTCCACCCGTGCCGGGTCCCCCTCTGTCGGGTCCCCCTTTATCCGGTTGTCCGCCTAGCTCGTTTTCGTCGACGGAGCCATGTCATGCCTCGACATCGTGGGTGACGCCATGGCCGCCAGCGGGAGCGGCAACGCCAAGGAGTCGCGGTCCCTTTGCCGGTCCGCCAGAACCTGACGGGTCCGCAACGATCTACGGTGCGCCTTCGTTCCCACCTTCGCCGCATCCTGCACCTCGTCATAAGTGTCTCACACCGCGCACTTCAAAAACCAGCACGACATACTCACCGCACAGACACACACGCGAACCACCCCTGAGCACACCCACCGAACGTACAACCAGAGCGAACACACAAATTGACGACCGCCGACTCGACCCAAAACCTAACCGAAGTCTGGATGACCGACGTCTAGATGACCGACGCCGCACCGGACTGGGTTGGTCACTGAGCGCCACTATGATTCGTGATGGATGCTATGATGCAATCGACGTCCTCGAGCTCCTCGCTGCCAGCTCAAAGTGGCGCCGCTACCTTAACACCGGCATAGAGAAGGACGACGCCACACGTATACTTCTCACATACCTCGAAACGGCCAGGCGCGACGTACCCAGCCAACTACTCAGACTCGCCTCTATCAAAGAGGACCCCAAAATGCCCCTCCTAAGTACGTTTTCTAACCCAGATTATGCCATCACCCACAGAAGTTACCACAAAAGTCAACATCACCTGGCCAGACGGCGATTATTGCCACCACCGATATCATTGTCTCCCTGTAGTTTTCTCTGAGGCGGAAGAAGAACTGATGCGGCACCCGGATCGTTTACTCAAATTGGTTACGTTCCTGTTATGTTTGCCTTGGCTTGCCGGCTCTTCGAGCTCGTTGTCGAGGGTCGTAAGGTCATTCACGCTCCACTCCCCCGACCAGGTCTCTGGCTCCAGTCTCTGGGCTAGTACGTTTATGTCTGGGTTTGATTCTAGATTGAGGCCTGCAATTTCGGGACTCGTTTCTGCTGAGGACGAGCCCGCGTTGATACTGGAGAAGTACTGTTTCCTCAGCCCCTCAATGCTCCTTAGCGCGTCGCCCAAGGCGTTCCCTCCTCGGTTCCTATTGAGTCATAAAATTTCTGACACAAGCACTCGGAATCAAGAGGCTTCTACACGGACGGGTTCAATTCCCCGCTCCGCTCCCATCCCCGGAATTTTTTACAGCACCTCCAATTATAATTAAATGCGGTCGAAAACCTCCGGCCGCCAAGACAAAGTATCGCGTCAGGGTAAGAAGGAAAGCGAAAGCGGCTATGCCGCTAACCTGGGCCGGAAGATAAAGGACCAGCTACCCGATAGGGGAGCTAGTAAGAACCAGGAAGCTGGTAAGATAAACCCCCGCCAGGGTGGCAAGATGAAACAGCATGGAAAGGGTGGTAGTACGGTGCTTGAGGTGGCGCCAGAAATTAGAAAGCACCCACTCGGTAACGTCACCCAACGACCGGGCAAGAAAGGACGACGACTCCAGGAACCGCAACCCGAGTCGGAGCGAGAGTCGGAGCGGGAGTCGGAGCGAGAGTCGGAGCGAGAGTCGGAGCGAGAGTCGGAGCGGGAGTCGGAGCGGGAGTCGGAGGTGGAAAGTGCCCTGTCCACGACGGGCTCAGAGTCGAAAACTGATGCGGATGCGCAGACGCCGGTCTCGAACGCGGGTTGTGCAGGTTTCGAGTCTGGCAGTGAGTCTGACGGCGCGTCCGATGGTGTGTCCGTCACTGAGTCTGACGCAGTATCTGGCGGGGTGGAGCAGTTAGAATCGTCGGGGGAGTCAGAGCAGCTGGGTTCTGCGGACGAGAGTGAGGACGCGGTGTCTGAGGACGGTGAGAAATTGGGTGGTGAGGAATGCGGGGCGGATTCGAGCGCGGGTTGTGAGTTTGAGTACGTGGACAGTGCGGCGGAGGAGGACGAGGCGGGTATGGGTGAGGAAGCGTTGATAGCATCGTTGCCGCACGAGCGTGAGGCGTTGCGTCTGTTCGTGGAGCGGTGCGTGTCGGCGACGCGTAAGGGTGCAGATGCGAGAGTGCGTGGATCTATACCGCGAGCGGAATGGGTTCGGCGGCTGTCAGCATCGGCAGCGAAGTACTGGGGTTACAACTTGGCTCTGGCGACATACTTCGTGGATTTGTTCGGGCCTGAGGAGGCGTTGGAATTTTTCGAAGCGAATGAGAGGCCTCGTACATTGACATTGAGAACAAACACATTGAAGACTCGGCGGCGTGAATTAGCGCAGGTATTAATAGCCCGTGGTTGCAATGTAGATGTGTTGGGTGAGTGGAGTAAGCATGGTTTGGTTGTAACTGATTCTACGATACCTGTTGGGGCAACTCCCGAGTATCTGGCTGGGCATTATATGTTACAAGCGGCCTCTTCGTTCCTTCCTGTGATTGCGCTACAGCCCAAGCCCGACGAGTATGTCCTTGACATGGCAGCTGCACCAGGAGGAAAAACAAGCTTCATCGCACAGCTTATGCGAAATAGCGGTGTTATCGTGAGCAATGACGCAAGCAAAACTCGTGGGTTCGCGCTGGCCGCAAATGTTCATCGACTTGGTATTACCAATACTGTTGTCGTTAACTTTGATGGAAGGAAGCTTAATGAACATCTTAAACGACCATTCGACCGTGTCCTCCTTGATGCACCATGTTCCGGCTCAGGAGTTCTCAGTAAAGATCCCGAAGCCAAAGTAAGACGTACACCAGATGACTTCAGGAAGCTTGCCGCGCTACAAAAAGAGTTATTATGTCAAGCCGTGGATCTTACTAATGCTAAAAGCAACGCAGCTGTGATCGTCTACTCTACCTGCTCGTGCTCTGTCGAAGAAAATGAACAAGTCATCGATTACATACTCAAAAATAGACGTGTCAAACTTGTTGATACTGGCATCTCTTTCGGCACTCCAGGCCTCACTCGTTACCATGACAAACGATTCGACGAATCCCTAGCACTTACCCGCAGGTTCTATCCTCATAAGAATAATATGGACGGCTTCTATGTTGCCAAGCTAATCAAACTGGACGCACTTCCTTTGGAACGAACCAAACGCGACCGCAGCAAAAAAAACCAATATGTCAAAGATGCGCTCTAACTCCCCCGTTCGAATCCCGACGCTCGCAACACGTTCTAAGTCTCACAAGTTTTAGTTCTAATTTCTAAGTTTCCCACAAGCCGTTATCAGTCTCATCTTCTTGGTGTGGTTGGTTGTGTGTTCTTGATGCGGGAGTCAATGTTCTTAGTGCTCCAGCAGCTGTTATGTTTGTGGGGTGATGGCTTCGATATTTTGCAGCGCCAGGGCCCACACAGGCTGCGTGCTGCGACTCACTCGTTGGATTTTATTGTTGGCAAAATGGACCAGTTTTTGTTCGGCAACCTGATAGCACCCGCGAATGAGGACGCGTTGAGGCTCCACAAACGCAGCCACGGAGAAGTCCAGTTGCCCGTTCTCGGCTTCTAGACTTTTGATACGGTCTACCTCATTATTCAGCAACTTCCGCCGCTTCTGAGCACCGCCATCCATCGCCTTTTCTGTCATCGCCACAACCCCGCCTCGAATCCCATGAGGGGCAACACCGGCGCCGACCATGGTTGTCACGTCTGCACCCGCCACACTGACCTTGGCGACTACCCCATTGCCCGTGGACGTGGTCCTCGGGCGCTTGGTCCTGGGGCTATGCTGCGTTATAACCGTCTGTTGCATGATACCTGTCGTGGCCTTTGGAGCGTGTTTGCGATGGGGAGCGGCATCTTGAAGCAGGTCGAGGTAGGGGTCGTTGTAATTGGGTGTGTCATCTCGCACGTCTAGTATTAGCTGTTGGACGTGCTTCAAGTCTTCGGCGCTCCATTGAGCAAGTGCGTCGGGTAGAGTGTGTGTGTGGTGCACGGTGGCACTTGACGAGTGCCTTGTACAGTTGTACATGAGCGCCGAGTGGCGGTTCATTACGTTCACGTGCAGTTAAATCGCGCCAAGCGAAAACCGTCTCGAGCACTCGATGTAACCCTATACTCATGACCCCCACCGACGACATCCGGACCGTGCTGCTTTTGCCGCTGTAGCCAACGAACTCAGAGAGTGCACCTTCTCTGACACTATGCGCGACCGAGGTGCTCGAGGCACTCCCGCGCGCACTCTGGGGCGATGCCGAACCCGACGTAGGACGCACGCACGAATTTGAGCGGAACGTCGGACGCACACACGAACGCGAGCGGGAC